GTCTTCGGTAAATTTATTCTTACTTTTTAAGTGACTGCAAATAGTGAGTCATTTGAGGTGATAGGATGAATACTTCTAAACGCTTTCGTGGGGATTAGGATATATTTATTTTCTCGACTAGGAGACGATCTTTTTACGAAGAAGGTTCATAGGATGTCCGCTTTTACTTTGAAATTCAAAAATAACGTTAAGTTACTGAGGTATTAGCTATGGGAGATTACCTTCAGCGGGAACCACTTTAAGGTAACTACGTAGCTTTAGGTAATGCGTCATAGAAGTAAGCATTGTAGGTTAATTGTATCTAAGGCAAAGTTCAACAATAGAGTCCCAAAGAACGAACGCACAAGTGACCTTGAACCGACCAGTCAGAAAAAAGGATGATTTTTGCATAAAATTTTACGTAATAACTTCGTTTTGTGATCCGTTGATAGCTCGGATTCTATTTTTCAGCCTTCCTCCGAAACCTTCGGTAAAATTATCATGAGTACCGGTGACAGGGTCGACGGAATCATTCGAATGGTTCACTCTATGATGTATATATCCCAATTGCGATAATTGGCTATATCCCGCCCATTCATCTGTGTGAATGGTGGTGCCTGGTAACACTAGACGCTGAATAATAGGGAGGAGTGTATCAGCACTCCTATCTAGAATCAGCTCCATAAACCCGTTGCGAATCTAGGTGTCGTAAATTCCTAAAACCCAAACGTTATTCGCTCTGGCACCCAGTAATTGGACAGTAACAAGATTTTCAGGCAAAGTTAAACTTTCGACACCAATAACAACCAATCGTCAAAGACAGCCTCAACTTTTCAAAGAGAGTTCCTAGAAGACAATTAATTCAGTGTCACCTACCAGTACGCACAATTGTTCGCGCTTGAATAATGGTGAGCTTCCTCAAGCAATGACTAGCATGCGTTCAGGGCCATTGGAACATTTACAATCCTGGGACTCTATTGTTGAACTTCGCCGTATCTAAATATGTTAAACGTTGAATAACTGGTCAAATCGTAGCTCTTACATACTAGTTAGTCCCAGAAATAATGGATGCACTGTACAAACGTTCACTTTGATTTTCATACCTAGCTCATAAGCTCGTATACATTTAAGACTGGTACGCTGTGTGATGAGTTTTGCGAAACACAAGAAGAATAGGTCAAGTATAGGTAAGACTCATGAACTGACAAACTGTTAGAGGAGGGGATGGGTTATGCTTGAGTGCCTTAACTTCTTAATGTGAACAGTCAGACGAAATATTATTTTAGAAATCGCTAAGACATGGGAAGACCAGGATTGGTAAGAAGAAAGAATTCGTCAAAGATACTTAACGTCAGACTTGATTTCTATATCACTATCATCAATTATACAACGGTAATGGGAATTAACAGCTTCATTTAACTTTCTTTTACATCTAAAACTGAAATTAACTGCCTGATATTTCGAAAGATATAGTTTAAGGCCGTTAGACGAAGACCATTTGCTAATTCCTGATAGAAAGCTGTTCATTTTAGTACCGTCTAGCTGGGAGTTGACAGATACTGAAATAGTTAGATCATCGGCAAACTTAACAAAGTAGATATTCAAACACTGCAGTTGTTGATCATAGAAATGATGGATATTAGATAACATCACATGATTCAACAGCATATCAGAAATAAATAAAAATTGTTTCTTAGCTCACCGCCAAGTAGACAGTCTATTTGATGATGCCACTGCATATTAACTGATTAATGAAGTAGCTATCAACCCTGATTTACTACATTTACTTGTGCTACATACTTGGCGTTTAGCAGTATACAAACTTGCAACTGGCTAAATAAGGCGACTTTAGCGTAACGAACATTACGGAATTATTATTCAACTTGCTAAATCCGACTTAGATTTTATAATGTGCTATTGTATAGAAACAGACGCGAAATCCTATGAATGATTAAAGTAACAGTCTCATAATACTGTAGTAAATCTCCATTCCACTAAGCTTAACATGCATTAATCAGAATTCACATATTACGAAAGCTCATGGTATAGCGACGCACTGAAGACGTTCAAAAGAAGTAGAAATGAAGAGTATATTAAAAACTTTCTTAATTTACAAGAGAACGGTATTAGCGTTAGTTTGACAGATTGACATTTCCACTGATTTCACATTCCACAACCTCCAAATACCTAAAATATGAAGCACAACATGAAGTTATGAAAGATAATTTTATATATTAGCATATATAATATATACTGTTTCTATTAATACTAAGTAAAGTTCTCATACAATTAAAAGTATTTGTAGTTCCCAGCTGGTCTTTATATTGACGCCGTATGCATAAAAAGACCTCATAAGTTGTCCAGCATTAGAGGATTACACGCAAATTTCAAGGTAAACTCTGAAACACCCATAGTGTTGAGGCGTCATTCTCTCGTCAATTCCACACTAAATACGTCTACGTTAAATAAGGTATTGCATATATGTAGCTTAGAAATTGATCCACAATCTCAGTAATGTCTAAAGAGCATAGCTTTCTGAATCCTACAGAAATTACATTCTCATATTTAGGAACCTGTAGTCATCAAATATAAGCTAAACATGCCTCAACTCTAAGCAACTATGCACAGTGTTAACAGCATAGTGTTACATAGGGAAACACTTAAAATATTGTAAGATACGCAGAGCTGTTTTGCTGATGAGGATAACAATGACATGTAATGCAACCTAGACATTTAATCGTGACACTGCATCCGTACTGTAAATGGAAATTTCAGAAGAAATTCATCTCCACTATTGGTGATCAAAAACATTGCAGTATTAAGTTTAGTGTCAGACGGTAGATTAATAATAGAGCTAACTAGATTCAATTCTCGTAATCAACACAAACCATGTGTATATTATTACTATACACTGAATAATTGCACTAAGCGTAACATTGAGGAAAATTAAACCAGTTATTGCCTTCTCAAATGCACTGCACTTGCAACAATCACGAGAACTACCTACATTTCTTAGCCTAGCAGTCAGCTAAGCAAACAATGGCACAATATTAATACATAACCCATACTATACTGCGCAAATCAATGTAAATATGTATTAAATTCACTTAGAGATAACCTTTCAACTTACCATAATTCCTGTCCAAACACATACAGTGAAAGACACGGCTACATGATAACTTCTGTTCCCACAGAGGTTTCTGTTAGCATTTATAGGTGATTCCCATGTACTGATATTATTCTTTTGTCAAATAGTACTGTTCTGCACACAAAAATAGCTACATTTTGACGTGGTCTTCATTGAATGGCACTATGTCGAAAGCTGCAGCTTCTACAAGAAGTAAACTATTTGTGTAGATGATATTACCCTCCACCTACTCCATCTTCTTCATTATAGCGATGTTTCGACTGATTCCGCATGAAACACTAATCATTACAACCAATATGCTTAGAGTGTGTCGCAGTCAGATTACATGACGCGGACACCAACATACCTAGCCAGGAAATGAGAATTCCTATCAATTCAGAAAACATATAACACATTTTTATTGAAAATTATTGACAAAAAAAATTTACCGAGCGAAATTTCAACCAACATGCCGGATAAGTCCAGCCGTTTTAATGTATACATACACGAACTGGCTCCAACGCTATTTCGCTCTTTCCCTTTGTGCTGTCAACATGCATATTATTTGAATTTGTAGTACAGCTTTATTCGTTAGATAAGTTCTAGACCCTTTTCCCTGGATAATCTACACCTTTTATTTTACTCAAATATAGTGCGCACCAGAGCGCATTTCCGATTAACTAAGTCTTTTTGGTTTGTGTTTTTTGTCAGTACTTACACGTTAGGTAGAGTACTGAGTTATTGGGTACATAGGTAAATTACGTTGAGTAACGGCTGGTTTACTGTAGCTTATCGACAAAATTACCAGTACTTTACATATAATAATCTATATTTCGTATGAACTGGTGTTTGCGAGAAATGCATGCCATTTTTACAGGCACGATCAATTTTGTTATAAATTACAATCGTGAGGTATCATAAATTAATACTTTTTCGAAAGTTTAAATAGTTCGATAATGGTACAAGCGATCAGAACAGGTTCTTATAAATGTTAGATTGTAAACCCTTCACCATGAAAGTTGAGGGACAACCCAGACTTCGTTCCATTTCATGCTGATAGTTATGGTCAACCAGTGGATGGCGTATATTTGGGTAAGTGTTATGTCGTCAAGTTATTAAAAGCTATTTCAGGAAGAAAAGAACGTCCTGGGAAACAAAGCAGTAAATTTCCAGTCAAACACACAAAAATGTATTGTTACAGTAATAAATAATTTTCAGTTCATATGCGGCCGGGAACCAGAATAATGCGAATTAATCCACATAAAATGACAATTGTAGCATATAGGAGCTGGAAATTATCACGCGAGTCAAAGAGATACGGTGGCTTACTTGTATGTTGATAAGCTGAATGTATATATACTGTCGTACCAATTAATCACACGAAAAGATTTCAATGAAGTCAAAATTCCTTAATTTTGGTGAAGTAGAAAATGAGCTGCTGAGTAAATGAAATTAACCATTCCTTTGAAGCCCTTATTGTAGGATACATACGCAGAATTTCTATTCTACCTTTCAAAGAGTTTATATCAATACCTGAGTTGCAGAAGAGAAAATACGTGCCTGAATTGGTTAATACAATTTACTTTATTTCGACCTTGAAAAGTTCAAGGTCGTGCATAATTCGACTTTCACGCTTCACCGTGTGGTTTATGTATTATTTATTATTATTATTTTGATAACAGCTTGATGCCACACCGTATTTTCATTACAAGTATGGAATTTTCAGCATGGATATAGGTAGCCCAAATTTTGCAGGCCAACCATAGATATCGGGTGTGCGTCGGCAGGGGATCGAACCTCGGACCATGTGCATGGTCGGCGAGAGTCCTAACCACTTGAGATTAATATAAAACTATACATGCGGTTATTTATTTATGTGAAGTTTGTCTACCTGCAATGAAACTGTAATGTTTTAAGGTATCTATTCATATTTAACTTCCGTAAATCTACTTTTCGTATTCGAAAAGTGGTTTATATATTGAAATTACCAGGGTAATTCTTTTGATCCCGATCTGAGTCTAGCATTTATCTAAGTTAAGCCTTGTTTAACTGCCAAACCGTACGTATTTTAAGCCTAACAAAATTGTGAAACCAGGTTAACATGTACATTGTGAGAGTGCAAGTTACACAAATCTATGATAAGTTGCGTAAGTTTCTTCAGCGTCATTCTTGGTGATCACCTGTATTCTGCAACTTCGCCCTGCTTGTTGAATTCCTAGGCTGTATACAGTATATTACCTGTATCCAATATAGTGGATAATTTTCTCTTAAAAATTCCATACATCACTGTGAATAAATGCCGTATACTTTTATCCTTTAAGAATATTCCTAGATAGGACCTAGGTAACTCTAATAACAATATCTTCCCAGTAACGGTGTTAGCTATGCACCGTTTTGTTTTCAGCTTTGTTAAAACCTTTCAGCACTTCGGAATCTTGATCTATAAGTGTAATGCCTACTTGTACTGGGCTTCATTTACAGTGCCTTTAAGGATTGTCAGTGGTTCTTAACAAAGGTCCTTTAAATGATGGGGTTACTCATCAATCTTATGTATATTCGTGTACTAGAATGACTTAAGGCATGACAATTTTATGATAGTGCCTTATTTTGTAGGGCGAAGTAAGATGGTTGGTTTGTTGTTAGTTTCCTAGTCTGTTGAGAGACCTAAAAATACTGTATTGTAAGAAGCTTAAATTGATAATTCTTGTCTGACATAGCACTGGACTGCACAAAGGTGTATGAGTTTCGGTTACGGCACTTCGAAAAGACATGCTAAAGTAGCAGAATCGGACGAAATTGTAATGGGTAAAAATAATTGAAAGAGCATGATTAAATGAAAGTTAATGAATATTTTCAGAATAAAAAAATGTAAAAAATGAATTCATTTATTCCATGGTGAAATTTTGAGCCGTCATTAAAAGTCTCCAACCATCTGTTCTTAACATGCAGCTCTCTCTCAGTCACCCAGATCAACGTTTAATGACTATGCATTGGTGTCATGTTTTGGTCTACTTCAACTTTTTCCCTAATCCTAATGTGGCTTACATTGCTTATCAAATGAGTTAGCGGCTCGATATGCTTAACACAATCCAGCCATCTCAATACCACAGACCAACGTTTTCTCCTTGCTGGACACTGCATAAACATCACTGTTACCTTGACATGTTGCTCCGTGTAACATGAGCGGTTGTTGAATAGTGACAATTGCAGACCTAATTTGCTCATACTTTTTGTCTTCAGCAGACGTATGTGCCATTAAGAAGGACAAAACGAACGGCCGCACAGTACGCGTCGTTTATTGTGCAGCCGATTATGAGACCTACGCTAAAAATGACTCGGTTTGGTAAATACCACCTCATCTTTCTAAATCCGTGCTGAGACTTCGTCAGTAATCTATCCATTAAGAATGATGAGAGTGCAAACAACAGTCATTCAACCATTTCACTCTGTATGATTAAACTAGTAGTAGATGCTGCAGCAGTCCTATGGCATCAAGTAGCACTTAAAAGGGGGAAACTTAGCTCAGCATTTTTCTCCGGGTGCTTAGAAGACTATATTTTACCAGCTACAAACTAAAAGAGCTATGTATACTTTAAATCAGAGAAACCGTTCCATGGTTGAAGTCAATCAGAGTTATGTCCATTACTATGTGTGTAGTTAGTTTAAATGAAAACTGGAGTTCTGGGTATCGTTGACAAATTACGTTGATTACCATTGTTACAAACAACAATCCATTTCTTGCACGGCTGCGAAATTCGAGTAGTGCTTTTACAAACTATCAGATTCTGCCGCCATACGTAGTTTTAGATAGGAAATGCTGCATTAGCTTTCAAAAAATAAACACTATTTTCCATTCATAATTTTATTATTCGTTTTCACCTCTAGATACATCACTTGTATATAGGAATATTATCAGTTCAGTTTCTGTCTTGAAAATGTTAATTTCTGATGGAGCACATGTTTTGCTACGTAAAGAAAACTGTTACCAGTTTATTAAAATCTCCACAGAAAAGTAAGGAATATTTAAAGTTAACTTATTGTTTTAGGAAAGTGACGTTCGATGGAAAAAATTTCTCTTTAAAGAATGCAATTGGCTTGCCTTATGGTTCTACATTTCTAGTTTCAGGCGATGAAGTTCAACCTATTGCATACAAGTCGTTAATACCTGTTTGTTGTGAATATTCAGAAACTTTATCCATTATAGGCGAATTTAGAAGACTCCTCTTCAAAAGATGAGGAAGATAAAAATGAATCAAAAGATAATAGAAACATCAAGTGTTCTCAAGGTAATCAAAAGTTAACTGCTTCACATATAGAACAGTTGCGTCTTAATGGTTTACCTGGTCAAGTAGGGTATATTTATAAAATATTTTGCAGGACATTTTAGAACAAATAGTAGAAGGCAGTATGACTTTCGAGCAGAAAACTTCATTCTCTCAGCAAAAGTATCTCAAGAAAAAGAAAACTAAACACTTGAGTTTATTCTCAATTGAAAAACCTAATACTCGTATAATCTTCGAGACGTACGGTAATTTGCGTCCAGAAAAGTGTCTGTAAGTTCATAAATTTCAAATTCGTATTTTTTTCTCAACAATTTACCACCATTAAAGACATGGTGGATTTGATAATGATTTTACACAAACCTAGTTTCCAAAATATGCCTACCTAAATTATCCAAACGGAAGTTGGTCTTAGCTATAAAGTTGGCGGTGATCTGTGCTAATCTACAACAGACAGTCTCCATTATTTTGTCTGCGACCATCTGGTTCCCGTTGACCACCTCGAAAACTCTCATCTTTGCCTAGACACCTGACTCATGCATTCAAGTCCCGTCTAGAACAACGGTATCTATTACACCCACACGCTTAAAAAGCTCACTTAGTTGATGGTAGAACTCATCCTAAATTGTGTCCGGGCTGCAACTTATCGGAGTGTCAGCAGAAATAGTGAAAATGCAACACTTCACTGGCAGCTCGCTTTTTACTCTAATATAGACTTCTATCTTGACAGTACACAAACAATTTTTAATGAGGATCCAGTTGGGTAATGCGTCTTCAACTCTAACGCTTAGTGTGACACCAACACCAGCTAAATCAGAGTTCGATACCACAGGGTCCGCAGATAAGTGTACGTGAAACAGTGTTTGGCTTGGAGATGGAGAAGGTATTGCATGTTGGTCTCAGAGATTCAACAGTAAGGCTTCCTAGGGTGCATTGTAAACATACCCTATGCCCGATTTGCACCAGTTTGCGGACGTTGTAGGTGGTAAGCTTGAAAGTGACACACGATGGCAGAATAGCCTTTTTCAGGTACTACAATGGAGGCTGGCTTTCTGGAGGTAACTAACTGGCATCGCGAAACGGTAAGAATAGACTGAGGTTTCAAACAATAACTAATGGCTGATACAAGCTAAGATGTTGATAATACGGTGAAGATGACAGATATAAAAACAAAATGGTTTATATATGAGGATGAAAGTAATATTGGTTCAAACTGTTGAATAGCTGCTTAATTAAGTAATCTGTGATAGTGTGCTTGCGAGTGGAGTTTTCCGCTGATTGTCCTTTCATGATTTGTGCGAGAGCTGAGATACTTCCTAGATGCCCAAACTGAAGCAGGAGGTTACCTTAAGGAGCCACTCCCCGAGTCTTTGACTTGAAGTCTGATCCTAAAAGAAGCAGAATCTGTGAACTCAAGGCCATATGAAAATGTTTCTAAAGGGAAGATCGAAGTTTAACCAACCTCGATCATACCTGGTCATTTATAGCGAGAGAGTTGCAAATGACACGTTCAAAGAAGAACAATATAGAAACTTTTTTTTATTACTTTTTATCTCTTTTATTTTAGTGGATTGCGTTTTGAAACTGTCTGTCGTATCTTATCTTATGCTAATATTCATGCTGGTTCAACTGTTCTTGTCTGTGAAACTTGTGCTGGACTTATCACCAGAGCTGTACTTGAGCGTATTGGTACAGACCAAGCTGAAGGATCGGTGATTCAATTTTATCATGGTTCGGTACCTCCATCATTAGAAGCTATGCTTCTACCAGGAAGTATATATAAGCAAAAAGTATGTTTTATGTTTTGCTATTTACTTTGGCAAAATGAATATAAAATGCATGTATAATCAATCAGATATCATGAGATTATAGCATAAATTGTATTGTAGATTTCAGATTGAAGACAAAAGTCACTTTAGCTCAAATAAAACAATCACATTAACTTTGTGGTCATCTTTACTACTGACTGATGGCTGTTAAAAATAGTTTTTTAAGTATTCGCATTGTTATCGAAACAATTTCATATAAATTCGTGATAAAAGGGACAAAAACGCTCCCATGTATTGCAAAAAAGGATGCTTTCATAATATAATAATAATAATATCTTTATTCTGGAAAAAATGTTTACACAAGATACAGAATTCTCAGCATAACTGAAGGCATAATATTTTCTCTTCGTGTAGGATCTTTAAGTGAAGTAGTAATTGATAGTTACTGCATGACCCGATGATGTTCGATCTGAAGTACATACCAATCCCTTATGACATTTTTCCTTCGTCTCAGAGAAATACATAGATAGCAATAGGGTGAAATACGGGTCAGAAACTTGGCGTGTCTCGAAAAGGATTTCCAACAGGCTACTTCAGACTTTCATTAATAGCTACCTTCGCTCCATATTGAAGATCAAATGGCCAGAAAGAATAAGCTACAAGAAACTATGGGAACAAACCAACAGGCGAGAGCCGATCGCTCAAGAAATATGTAGGATAAAGTGGAGACGGATCGGGCATACATTGAGGAGGCCGCCGAATGACATCGCACGCAGGCCATTGCTCTAGTGGAATCCAAATGGGAAGCGACGAGTTGGTCGTCAGTGCGAGGGTGACATGGAGGAGATCGTGTGAGGAAGAGATGAGAGAGTTTGATCAATCGTGGACCCAGCTGAAGAGGATGACAGAAAACAGAACAAAGTGGAGATGTGTAGTTGAAGCCCTATGTTCCACTCGGAACGCAAGGGAATGATAATAATAATAGTGTGAAAGCCAATGAGAAATGTGCATGAGTACATCTCGCGACCCACAAATATAAGTGAATAGTTAGGACAATAAGAAATAGAGAAAATTGTATGCATTGTGTTGAATAGAAGTTCAGATAGCCAGAAATCAAGCAGGCCACTAAAATAAATGAACAAGTTAGTATAGTTTCCTAGCTAATTTACTACCTTATCGCAAATAAGTAACCAACTAGCCGCAAACTACACCTGTTGTACAGTGATTAACAGGGTTAATCAACTGCTTGGTGAAAATACTACACTAACATGCCTCCAAAGCCTCAGGATGGTCGGAGGTGGGTGCCTTGCGCTGCGGGTTGGCCACCCCTCCGCACACCTCTTGAAATGCTCCCATATGACCGGGCGTCTTACATATTTTTATTTTTTTAATTTATTTTTGGTTACAGCTTGATGCCACACCGTATTTTTAGTACAAGTATGGAATTTTCAGCTTTGATATCGGTAGCCCAAATTTTACAGGCCGACCATAGATATCGGGTGTGCGTCGGCAGGGAATCGAACCTCGGACCATGTGCATGGTCGGCGAGAGTCCTAACCACTGTGCCACCTCTCCTGAGGAAGTCCTACTCACTGCCTTCACGTGGCGGAGGTGTTTTTCACTAAAGTGAGAGGGCGAAAGCGGATGCCCGGCGCTCCTCACCGGGTTGACTGTCCATTGGATGACAGTCTAGGGGAGATGGCTAAACCCTGATTCCAAACCTCCAACGACTGGCGCATGAAGCTCACTGGAACTCACCGGCAGACGTATGGACAAAGGGCTTGTTGGATGTCCTGGATGTCTGGCCCCATTCAAAAAGGCGTATGAGCCGAACTCCGGTCACCGGCTGCCAATGGATAGTGGACTCCCTACTCCACTCCTACTGCCTTGTAGGTCACACTTGGTTGTGTAAAGGCTAGAGCTGCACTCTCAAACAAAAGGCCGAGCGATTCTGGGGACATCACTCGTACCAAATTCCCATGAAACTTCATGAACTCTCTTACAAACGATCACCGCGCCTGGGCAGCGATGATTCGAGATGTTCATGAAGCCGGCTCATCCTCCCGTAGGAGATAGCTGAAGTAAACAAACAAAAACAAAAACATGCGAATCTATGGCTAAACTGTAAAGATTCAAGTTTCAGGACTGCTGAATAGCAACGGTGTGGTCAGCCGAGAAGTAATAATCACCCACACACACACTTCCATAAACATACAAGTCTTTTCTGACCGCCACTCACCTTCCGAGCAGCAACCTGAGAGTCCCATATTTTATAATATACTCTCCATTCGTTGTTTGCTTGTGTGATACAAATGTGACAATATGTATTCTTGTCTTTCATGAAATCTTAATGGTATCAGTATTTATTCGATTTGGTAAATATTTTGTGCAACTGTGTAGTTAATAAAAGATAAGTAATAATAAATCTTCATAAGACCGGATTGTTTTTTACTTGCAGAAGACGATGAGTACTAAGTTACAATTTATGCAGAGTTAATTTCAAAAATGTCAGTAACAACATTGTGATAAAAATGTGCTTATAATTCATCATTTGTCTATCATTATAGTTTCTTCGATCCTTGTGTAAAAATTCACTGTCTTAGGTTTATCCTGTTAGTTTATTGGATGTAATGCCAATTTTGCTGCATAAAGCTTTTGAAGATAAAAATAATCAGATTACAGAAACAACTGGTGACGATTCTGAAAGCTTGGCTAAGGTAAGCCTTTTGTATTGCCTTCTTTTATTTCATAAAGCCTTCTCACACAACCTGTTCCTTTGATGATCTTCATCTTAAGAACAAAAACAAGGTTGTAGCATAAAATGTGCGCATTTTATTTAGAGGCTTCTCTTCACCTTCAGATAGTCTATTATATATATATATATATATATCATTTCGTAGTTTCTTTACAAGCGCTTTACAACTAACAAGGTTAACAATAATAAAATAAAGTTCATGAGAATTACTCAGTTAAATAAAAACAAAAGTACATACTAATGACCAATCATATTTAAATAGGTCATGTAGTCCATGGTAGGCGAAGATTGAAGTCTATTGATTTTTGTACACACAGTTTAGGCTGTATGTGATTAATCCAAAGTGCTTCCATCACCTTCAATAACCTTGAATTAGAGTTATGTGAAATAATTGTGAAACAGTCATTAATATTGATTTTGTGACCTGACATTAATAAGTGTTTTGCAATGGATGATGCTGGATTTCTATTCAGATTACTCGCATTGGGATTTTCTATATGATTTAGTAGCCATTTTGGAACATGTTCTTTACGACGACATTGGAACATTCTGTTGGTTCTACCTATATAGGTGTCACCGCAGCTGCAGGTGAACTTGTAGATACAGTTTGAAGTAGAGTCCACAGAATTTCGTCCTTTAATCGTAGGTACAGGGATCGAAAATGTTCGGCAAGTGAGAAAAAGAGATGTGGCGGCGTAGAATGTGCGTTTGATGGCTGACCGAAGTCTTTGAGCTGTCAACTGCATAATCTGGTCACCCTTGAATGGTAGGTTAATAAAGATAGCTTTCTTTGGTGCAGAAGCTGTTTTTTCGAGATGTGGTCTTTCCTTACTGTGACAAGTGATAAAGTTTTCCGGATAACGATTAGCTAATAAAACTGAATGTATTTGTTAAAACACATCCATCACTGTGTCACTCGTGAATTTTTTTTCGGGCCCTTGAGAACAAACATTTTACTAGGGAGCGTTTATACTGGATAGGAACAAAACTGGTAAAATGAAGATATTGTCCACTCCATGTCTGTTTACGAAAAATAGATCGTTGAATCGTTCCATCATCTCTCCTGGTCATTGTAATATCGAGGAAACCGAGTTTGCTATTCGATTCGAGTTCGGAAGTCACTCGGATATTTGGATGAATATGATTAAATAGGGTAATAAAGTTTTCAATAGATTTACTATTATTACCAATAATGAGAGTATCATCTACATAACGTTTATACAGCATAAATTCTCCAAGCATACCTTGCATTTGTTTTTCCAATTTCGACATGAATATATCTGCTAACAGGGGCCCAAGAGGGCTCCCCATCGCAACACCATCGATTTGTTTGTATGCCTTTTCTTGGAAGGTGAATCTAATATTTTCTGTACACATTAAGATGATGTCTCTGATGTAAGTGACAGGAATAGGTAAGTTTATCCCATTGCTTGTGATGTAATCGCAAATGAAATCAACAGTTTCATGAATAGGAACATTGGTGAATAAAGATTCTATGTCAATTGAACACATAACCTTTTCCTTAATGTTCAAGGTGTCTAGCATATCTGTCAGATCAAATGAACTTTTTACAGAATGATTTGATAATGAGTCTCTTACAGGCGTAAGGACCTCTGTAATCCATTTTGCGATTTTATGGTATGGAGAACTCGACATGTCTAAGATGGGTCTCAGTGGGTTCCCAGTTTTGTGGATCTTCGGAAGGCCATAAAGCCGGGGAGTATGTGACCCAATTGCTTTAAGTTGTTTATAAAGTTTTTCATTTATGAAACCATGCATCAGTAAAATCTGAAGCTGACGATTGATCTGCTTTTCCACAAGCAGCACATTATCAGTAGCATTGTCCACCAGAAATTTAGACTGATCTTTGAGGATTTCATTCCCTTTATTTTGATAATCCGATTTATTCATGACGACAACGCCTTCTCCCTTATCAGGTTTAAGGATAATAAGATCACCTTTTTCGATTAATTCCTTGAGTGCGGCGTGGTGATCTTTTGATAAACCATTTTTCTGGCGTATTCTAGCATTTAGAAATTGGTGAGAAATGTCCACCAGTTTAACTTTAAACCAGTCCAGATTATCTTTACTAGAAGGAGTTAAGTCAGAGATTTGATCATAGAGGTTTTCGTACTGTGACTAGACTTCCATTTTGTTTATTTTCATAGGAATAGTTTTGTATCTATCCCAACTACAGTTGGAAGCATTATAGTATGTGCGTCGGTGGCACAGTGGTTAGGACTCTCGCCGACCATGCACATGGTCCGGGGTTCGATCCCCTGCCGGCACACACCCGATATCTATGGTCGGCCTGAATTTGGGCTACCGATATCCATGCTGAAAATTCCATACTTGTACTGAAAATACGGTGTGGAATCAAACTGTAAATAAAAAAAAATACAAAACTATTCCTATGAAAATAAACAAAATGGAAGTCCAGTCACAGTACGAAAACCTCTGTTATCGAATCTGAATGCATGTTCGGTGACTGTACTGCAGAGAAGTCGTGGCGAGTGGAGTCCACCATGTCAAGGTGAAGTAGTTGTTCATGGGAGTCATTCTTTGCGGGTAGCGCTATATCATGAACTAACAGAAGTTAGAATTCAGCGGTGGTTGAATTCCAACCCAAGTGGCTAAATACTCAATGGACTTGGCCTCATAACCTGAAGGTCCTGAGTCCGGTCCGTGATGGAGTAGTGGGTGCACACTGATGAAGAGTTCCGAGCAAGGGTGAAACAGCTATCCAGTACGCCCTGTCTTCCAATGATGTCTAACTGTTGATGGTTCGTTACGAAGCTCTACATATTCTTTTATCGCCTTTCAAAGTATTTATAAACGTTTCGTTTTGTCAACGTCTTTACTTAATTAGGATCATACTGTCTGTTAAGTTAGATACTAGTGTGTAGTAGAATATGACTTATGAATTTAGAAAAGAAATTGAGCTTTCGTTGTCCTTCTAGACAACATCTTCAGTGCAGGTTTTAGTATGAAATGAACTCATTTAAATTCTCCATGAATGATGTAATTGTGTCTCCTGGCAACCACTATCGTGACTGGTTGTTAATTTACGTCTCTATTGAACATTTTTATTGACTTGGAATTCGAATCTTCTTGTCATGTGATTTACTTTTTATTAGCTGGTAAATTTGGTCTATGTGGTCTAATTCACTTGAGTACCAGGCTTCTAGGAATTCCCTGGCATTTTTGGTGTTTCCTCTATTTAAAATTTCTACATTATCCCAATCAAAATGGTGTCCATAATTATCCACATTCATGAGATTGAATAGAACTATGAATGGATTTTCTTTGTCCCTTACTCAACGATGCAGAACGAGGTGTCTTTAAAAATTCTTCTCCTGAAAATTTTATTTCAAATTATTTCCCCATGAAAATAATATCTTGTTATTATCTTCGGTCGGTCGGTCGGTTTTCGACATAGAACTTTGCACATATGTGCGGCAGTTCAAGTCGCCACACTCCATGTAGCACACAAAGCAAGAGGAGAAATGCATATTAGAGACAGTAAACAGAGGTGTGAGACAAAGGAATAGTAATAACGGAGAACAAAACAGTTTCATTGGAAATCATGAGTCACAAGGAGTGGATGCATCTGCACCAGCCATTGAGAACCATTTTGAGTCATGTCACCAATCGTTTCCAACCATTGGTTTTTACCGTCCCGAGGACCCCAACCAGGAAGTCTACACATTCCTACGTGGCTCAGACTAACTGTTGTGGATTCCATTGACTGGTGCCATGTTTTCGTTTGACCGCCGCTAGCTCTTTTCCAGCCTGACCCTATATCAGCTAACATTGCTCATTGTCGAGGAAGGCGATGACTAGGCATACGTAACACATGTCCTAACCACCTCAGTCGATGTAATTTCACAGTTTCGTCGATTGATTTCCCCTCTTTACCTCGCACTCGACGCCTAACCTCAATATTGCTCACCTTATTATACCACTTCACGCGGGAGATAGAACGCAGATACCTATGATCGAAGACAGCTAATCTTTTCATGTCTTCTGCTCTCAGTGGCCAGGTTTCACAGCCATAAAGGAGGACGGAGCGGACTGTTGAGCAGTACACACGCCCTTTTGTCGATAGTCGGATATCGCGTCTACGCCAGAGACGGCGTAAACTGGCGTATGCGAACCTAGCCCTCTGTATTCGTGCTGATATTTCGTCGGAGATCAACCCGACGGCGTTGGCTGATGGTACTTCCCAAGTAAGTGAAATGGTCAACGTGCTCTACCACTTCACTTCCTATTTCTAATCTACGGGTTGGTGAAGTCCAATCCTGCAGCATCATCTTACATTTTACAGGGGCGAATCGCATGCCAAACATTCGTAGATTGTTGCTCAAGGTGTTCAGTATACTCTGCATTTTGTCAGCGTCCTCGCCTAGAAGGACTATATCGTCCGCATATTCTAAGTCGACGAGATTATTCGCTGGTAGCAAGTCAATCCCTGAGTCGCTGAAGTGTGTTAGGGTTAAGTCCATTAGTACGTCTATGATGAAGTTGGATAGGAATGGGGATAATGGGCATCCTTGACGGAGGCCACTAGTCGTCACCACTTCAGATGACAACTCGCCATAAGCCCTCACCTGGCTGCATGAGTACGAGTAAAGTGCCTTAATCAGTGCAATGTATTTTCTCGGCATTCCCTTTGCACCCAAGCATCGCCAGAGAACCTCTCGGTCCTTGATTATGTATTTTGTTTTTGGTCGTAATAATATATCTCAGACACTAGTGAATATAATATGGCTATCAATGTAGGCTATTGAAATCTGAATTCAAGCATGATTAAAGTGTAAATTACACTTTCATGGAATTGCTCCATACATTTTCTATCTCACAATAACCCTTGACAAATCGATTCGTTACGATTGCTTGGATGTATATGTAATGTCTTTCCATTATTTCGTTTTCATATTTTTCTATTTTAGATTAGTAAAGTTGACGATGATATAGTTTCTGAAGAAAAAGAGAAAATTACAGGTAATTAATTACGTTTGTCTTTGTTTTCCTCTTTCTGATTGTAGTATAAAACTATGAATGATTGTACTGACTTATTGTGCGTCGGTGAGTCAGTCATAGAAAATACTAGCCAATGACGCACACGGTTCGGGTTCGATTCCCGCCCGACATAAATCATCCGCGAAATCTAGATCTTCTAGAGTCTTCTTATTGGTCCGACGTATTCCTGTCTTCTCGTTCCCCGCGTACGCTGTACTGCATAATCCAGTTCACCACAGTTGAAAATATCATCCGTGATAGTAGACAACCTTGTCTTACTCCTGTATTAACACTTCAAAGGCTTAGCTGAGTTTTCTGTTGTGGATCACCTGACACGTGCCCTTCTCATATAGCTGTCGAATGAGGTTGATAAATATTTGGAGCACTGCACTCCATAGTGATGAAGCAGTTCTCAAAATACTTCGCAATCAACTCTGTGGAAGGCCTCTTGAAAGCCGATGAAGTTGAGTAGGAGGTTTGACTACCACTCTACGCCTCTGCTCGATGATGATTCGTAGAGCTGTTATTTGATCCACACATGATTTATTATTATTATTGTTTCCTTTAATTCCTAGGGGAACAGAGGGCTTCAGCCGTGCGTCTCCATTGCGTTCTGTTCTCTGCTAGAGTCTTCACCTGGCTCCAAGTCTTCCCACATGCTTTCATCTCCTCTTCACATGACCTCCTCCAAGTCACCCTTGCACTGACGACCAACTCGCCGCTTCCCTTTCGGGTTCCACTCGAGCAATGGCTTGTCTAGTGATGTCACTTGATGGTTTCCTCAGAGTATGGCCAGTCCATCTCCATTTCTTCCTGCCTATTTGTTTCACAATCGGTTCCTGGTTGGTTCGCTCATTGCCAGAGATCCCTGTTGCTGATCTTTTCTGGCCAGCCATCTGATCTTGAGTATTGAGCGAAGACCGCTGTTAATGAAGGTCTGTAGTTTGTTGGAGATGCTCTTTATGACGCGCAGTGCAAGTCTCTGATCCGTATAGCAGCACTGACTGACTTCACATTGGAGTTGAAAATCCGGATCTTATTTTTCATGCTGAGTGTTGTTGACCTCCATACAGACTTGAGAGTAGTGAAAGCTTGTCTTGCTTTTCCGATCAATTCTCGCTTTGATATCCTCATCAGTTCCGCCTGTATCTGAAACGATGCCTCCCAGTTAGGTAAAAGAGGTTGTTTCTTTCAGGTTCCTTGCATTTATGCTGGCTGATTGTTGTCTGTTGTTGTTGTTGCTGTTGGTGGTGTTGCCCAGGAATCTTCATCACCTCTGTCTTCTCTATGTTCACCTGAAGGCCTATCTTTGATGCTTCTTCTGCCAACTTGTTGCTTTTCGCTTGCATATCTTCCAGTTTGTGGGAAATCAGACATATATCATCAGCGAAGTCCAGATCCTCCAAGTTTTTTGTGTGAGTCCATTTTATGCCTGTTTCTTCATTGCCCGCTGTTTGTCGCATTATCCAATCTACTGCAATCAGGAAAATCATTGGCGATAGTAGGTAGCCTTGTCTTACTCCTGTCCTCACGGATTAAGAGACAGAACCATTTTGAACTAGGGAGTCCTGAACTCTTCAGGAGGACGCACCCACGACCCCACCGTGGATCGAACCTAAGATCTTCAGGTTACGTGGGGAGCGGCAGGAATAGAATCCATTTGCATATGAGTTCTAATTTCAGCCGACTCATGATATATAGCGCCACTGCCCGTCACCCAATGTCACTGCTGAGAATTTGTCACCACGCCCAACCTGGTTGACTCCACTAAAACTCCAGGCGACTCTGTCCTATAGTCAGTCACTAGTGAGTATCAGATTAATTTTCAAGTGTTTGTTTGTTGCGATTTGATCGGTTTCTGGTTTGATCACGGATTAATATCAGTTGTCCAGTACTCCCTCCCTGGCTCTCAATGGTTCTCTAACTGATATCAACTAGTGATCAAACTTTGGACCTAGTTTTTCCATTTCAAATCACTGACCCACTGAAATAAATTCATCACTACTTTACATCCCCACATCTCGTCAGGCGTTTCCAATAACATTTTAACGTTCATGCAAACAATTATTCTGCATATACGTCTCCAAGTAAACATGATTAAATCATTAAAAGATTATTTTGTATAATCAGGGTTTTCAATATAGCAAAAATATTCATTCAGATATCTATAAAACACAAAATAATTGAGCAAAGAATATCCTTTTCGATAAATTCCTCTTCTGGCTCTACAATTATATATATATGTTTATATACATAGAATATTCTAGATTAGTAGTCAATAGCAATATTAGTGTTTTTTAAATAATATCGATTTGTAAAGTAAGATCAATGCAATTATAGTTCATTAAAGATGCTTAAATTATAATAATAATAATAATAAAGATATAGTAGCAAATAGAATATCAACTAAAATTAGGAAAATTCTACAAAAATTCAGGATCATTCAAACCTAGATGGCCAAGGTAATGATAATGTCTGAACTAACTTCTTTTGGATGCACAAATTAGGCTTGTTAATATGGATCCCCACAGCCTCAGCAATATTTAGTAGTCGAACTCTTAAGGCAAAATTGAGATTCGTAGGTATGCGGTAAATGACCCTGAAAGCATGGTTAACGTCAATCTTGTGTTCTGTAAATTTCAAATAATGCATTTGAAAAGTTGTGAACTTACGCATAGAAACATCTTCTCAATACATTCGAATTATACAATTTAGTTTTTATAAGTATTTCTTATAATTTAATCTAAGTATGAACGAAGAGTGTCGGACTCAAGTTTCAATGAAAAATACTAAAACTGACATCGAAGTAATATAACTTTCAAGTATAATAAAGAGCGGATTTTAAACCTGTATGCTAATTGCCATAAAACAAAATTAACCATTATTTTTCTTGACAGTTGATGAATTTCGTTGTTTCCCATTTCATGTTAAGTTATTCGCTTTATTACTTTGTTTTCTATCAACAGATCAAGAAACAGTAACAAAACAAGTTGATACTAATGCGCGATACATTTCTTCGTTCAATCATATTTTTGGTAGTGATCGTCCTTCACCCGATGCCCTTGTCATTATTACTCGATTTCATCCTGTTGATTTAACTTTAACCTTACTTCAATTTTTGCCTATTGGACGACCTTTTGTAGTTTATTCACAGTATATTCAGGTAAGTTAATCCTTTGTTATGTGTAACCGATGTTTCTTTCTAAATGTCTACTATTATTAGCATAGTTTATTATTCCTGTTAAGATATTTTCAAACGATTGGCACTGAGTTCGAATCCCTATGGGAGTACTATCACTCATGCCTTTATGTGGACGCATTGATCGCATATTCACGCTGTACACCCAACGTTTTTAGGCAACTCACTGGGTGCATTAACATTAGGACTCTGTCCTTTTCTTTGCGGATGACTACTGCTTTTGTCTGTCCGTCTAAGAGATGTGTTGGAATGGGATCCTTTAGGATCCTCTAGAGCCCATCACATAATTTGTTTCTAAGCGAGTTTTTGGATTTGATGATATAATGGCTTTTTTCTTCAATAATAGCTGCCTGCTTGTTTGGCGTCGGTGGCACAGTGGTTAGGATGCTCGCCGACCATGCACATAGTCCGGGGTTCAACCCCCGGCCAACGCACTCCTTTACCTCGCTAAGCCAGTGATAGGACTGGTAAAGAGGAAAGGTTGGGTATGAGGCTAGCAACCCCATCCTGTAAAAATAAACACGCTACAGAAACTCAAGCCTCTAGCTTGAAGACCTATGTTCCACGGGAACGTGAAGGAATAAAAAAAAGTATATACATTTCAGTGTTTTATTTAGTCTGTACATCATCTGTTGTTCAGTAATACGCAACTTATTGCTTTGCTTTTCTCCTCTCTCTCTCCTCTTTTTCCTTTAGCCTCTTGTTGATTTGTATAACGCATTAAAACAACGTGGAGGCATAACACATCTTCGTCTGACTGATACTTGGTTTCGTCGTATTCAAGTGTTACCTGATAGAACACATCCAGAGATTAATATGTCATGTACAAATGGTTACCTTTTAAATGGGTATACTGTTGAACCAGAAATAAGTACAAAAGCCTTATTACAATCAGGACTGTTATCATCTGTTTCTTAACTATGTATATATACATAGTTCAACCTACTTTTTTAATCGATAAAGTGTATAAAGAATGCTTTTATTGTCTTTCTTAATATATACTACTTTTTGTAATCATTTGTCGTTTTTCCAGCGGATTTTAATAATTAATGGGGTTTTGTAGGGGTTACGATTAATTTCGTTGTAGATTTCGTCACGTGCTTACATCATTTAGAGAATTACTGAGAACTAGGGAGCACTGGACAACTATTTCATCCTAGTCTGGATCTCTTCGGCAGTTCCCCCAGGGGTCGAACCTGGGACCTTTAGGTTGTGAAGCCAAAGTTGTCGACAGTTCAGCCACTTGGACTGGAGTTCAGTGATCTGTGGATTATAACTTTATCACTTCTTAATAGAGCGCTGTTCTGTGGTTGTAATGAGAAGCGGAGTCCATCATGCCAAGGTGAAGTTGGATGCTGATGGAGGGCATTCGCTTAGGGTTGCGCTATATCACGAATTAACAGAAATTAGAATCCACGGGTGATCGGACTCCAGTCCAAATGGCTGAATAGTCAACGAACCTGGCCTCGTAACCTCAAGTTCCTCAGTTTAATCCATGGTGGAGTCATGGGAGCTCACTGATGAAAAGTTGTAAATTAGGACGAAACGGTTATCCAGCTCGTGGCAACATCTTCACTGAAGTTAGTGTTACATTGTTCATTTTTATTCATAGTTTTAGACGCATAAAGACGAACTCGGTAGACGGGTTTAGGTTGACTTACAAAGTTTTAAGGTATGCTTGTCCTGTGTGAAAGTTAAGGGAAGTACTCTTTCTTGATCGAACTAAAATAACGGTAAATCAAGGATAAGATAAACGTAAAGGTGCTCTATAGTCAACACCTTATTGTAATTCTATCGGCAAAGTTTCGATAAGCTAAATGTTCATTATTTAATTGGTGATAATTTGTATATGCAATATAGAGTTTGTGAACTTACACAGAGGTCTGTATGTAACTTAATTGCTGTATTTGTAATCAAAAGATAGTAGATTCATAAATTCTTATCATTTAACTAGTGGACTCTGCTTTGATGATATCCCACTCTGCTTAATTTGATCAGTATTTGTTTGAAGTTGTAATAATCAGTTATCGAAGCTAACATGTATGAGTTTTCCGGATATTTGTTATCTGTGGGAGCGAATAGACTTTTGAAGAGTTGGATGACTACATAACTTAAAAAGTGTTATTTCACAAAGTGAATAAGAAAGAACTGATATAGCAGCTCAGTTCGAAAAATTATTCTATCAGCTGCAGGACCTTATTCCAGTTGATGAGGACAAGAAGAGCTGGTTCAAATCTAAGCTGGTCGATATTACAAATCAGTACCTCATTTTACCTATATCATATTCCAAAATCCCTTCTGGAGAGTATTGAAAGTTCTCAAAAATAATGACAAAATCGTCATATTGCGACCTGACAAAGGTTTAGGAGTGGTACTGATGGAAAAAAGATGACTACATTGCAAAGATGAAAGCTGTTTTAAATGACCCGTGGAGTTTAAAGTTGACGACTGCCAGAAAGGTAAGACAGATGCAGCCGAAACTGCGTTACAAACGTATTGAGAGATCTAAAGAAGAAATTGATTGACAATGATTTAAAACCCCGAGGTTCTCGTTTGCCGCACATGTATGTCCTACCAAAGACACAAAATAAACAAGTCCCCCTGAGACCTATACTTTCGTTGGTCAACTCACCTTAGCATAAGGTTGTTCGTTGGCTTGCGGAAAAGTTGGAACCCATTCGTCAACGGCTATCCATAATCACCATGAAAGATTCATTTCATTTCGCCGAAAGTGTGAACCGCATGAACGTTTCATTTGGTGCAACCTCCTTGTTCAGAAGGATCCCAGTCAATGAAACTATCAAGACCATCTGTCAGCATTCTGGTCTTCTCCCACTCCCAGTCGGAATTTAAACGCCTACTGCTAGTCTGTATCATGGATGTGCAATTCCAGTTTGACAATACTCTTTACCGCCAAATAGATGGTGTAGCTATGGGTAGTCCACTTAGCCATGTTTTAGCAGATATCTTCATATCCAATCCTGAAAGAACAAAGTTGAAGCATGCAGTAGACGAAACAACTTATTGTCGATATGTTGATGACGCATTTATAGTGTGCAACAATGAAAGTCATGTTTCTTATCTACTCAGATTATTCGACGACGCATATACAAATATTAAATTTACCATGGAACATAAAAATGATGGAAAGTTCCATTTCCTCGACATTGCCGTGCAACGACTGGAAGATGGTAGTCTCCAGAGATCAATTTACCGAAAGCATACTTGGAGAGGTCAATACTTACTTTTTAATAGTATTCGTCCAAATAGCTATAAACTAGCACTATTCGAGACCCTGTACTATAGAGCTAGAAGAATATGCTCTTCAGAGAAATTAGAGGAAGTTCCATATTAGTTTGTTTATTAGGTATATCACACACAGTCAACGGCGATCGATAAATCAAAGTGGGTTATCAATCTCTCAACACATATATTAAGTCCTACGGAAATAAGTGTTTTAGAAAAGGGACTAAATTTCAATGTATCTGTAGACAAGCTGAAACCTGAGGATGTTATCCCTAAAATAGAAATAGCACTAAGTGGAATAGACAAAACTACGGCTGATGAAGTACGGGCACAATGTGCACTAACATTGAAACGACAAAAATGTGGAAAGCCAAACCTGACAAAACAAGAGTTAGAAGCCCTGAAACACCTTAAGAATAACAAGGATATAGTTATCACAAAGTCAGACAAAGGAAATGCAACGGTAGTATTAGACAAATCAGACTACTTGGACAAGGTAAACACTCACATACGAACAGGACCATATGAGGAAATTAATAAACCAATTGATACAGTTATGAATAAAGTTAAGAAATCCACAGCGGATCTTATACGCCGAATGAAGCCGTTTCTAGGTGAGTCTAAGTGGCTTAACTTAATGCCCAAAACTAATAACCCCAGTAGGATGTATGGTGTTGTTAAAGTTCATAAGTCAGGATACCCTATTAGGCCTATAGTTGATTTTAGAAATTCACCTACTTATGAATTATCTAAATATTTAGCCATGGTATTAAATCCCCTAAAATTCCACTCGAAATCTAGACTAACTAATTCTTATGAACTCAAACGTAGATTAGATAATTTAAAATTAGATAATGAAGAAAAAATGGTTAGTTTTGACATAGTCAGTTTATACACACGTATACCAATAAATATGGCTATAGAGGCAGTCAGAAACGAACTCATTTCTGACCAAGAACTCGAACTTAGGACAAAAGTGCCACTTGAGGACATAATGCTGGGAGTACAGCTATGCCTTACTTCCACAGTATTTAAATTCCAAGGGAAAATATACAAACAAACTGAGGGAGTTGCCATGGGATCACCAATATCCCCAGTGGTAGCAGATATATTCATGGATAAGTGGGAAAGCATAGCGATTAAAACGTTCACCCCCACCCCAAAAGTATGGTGGAGGTACGTAGACGACACATTCACTGTACTTAGAACACAAGATGTAGATAGATTTTTCGAACATATCAACTCTAAGGTTGAAGCAATTCAATTCACTTATGAATTGGAAAATCAGGAAGGGGAGCTCCCAATGTTAGATTGTAACGTAATGAGGAAAGAAGATGGGAAGGTAAACACTAGTGTTTACAGGAAACCCACACACTCCAACAGATATTTGGACTTCCGATCATCCCATCCTATGTCAGTAAAAATAGGATTGGTGAAATGTTTAAATGACAGAGCACAAAAATTAAGTAGTACCAAAGAAAATCTAAAACAGGAACTAACACACATAAAAGAAGCCTTAAAACTTAATAATTACCCGGATAAATTAGTCAGGAAATATGTAAAGAAAAGTAACAATAAAATTAATAATGATAGTAGTGATAGTGATAATAACAATAATAATGATAGTGATAATAATAATAATAATATTAATGACGACACCAACAATAAAGAATCTAAATCATCAGTAGTAATTCCATACAAGGAAGGAACCTCGGAAGCCTTACGCAGAATTCTTAACAAGGCAGGAATAAAAACGGCATTCAAACCCACAAACTCAATTAGAAACAAGCTTTGTCGGTTAAAGGATCCTGTAGAGCCTTTAAAACAAAACAATTTAGTTTATCTAATACCCTGCTGGAATGATTGTCAGGTCAAATACATAGGTCAAACTAGTAGAACAGGGGCAGTCAGACTAGCTGAACATAAAAACTTAGCAAAATCTAGATTGGTTGACCCGAATAAGATAAGAAATCTAGAGAATAGTTCAGCTATAGCACTACATGCAGTCACACACAACCATACAATAGGATGGGATAGGATGACAGTTTTAAAATCTAATGTCACAGGGTATAGGGAGAGATTGATAACAGAAGCTTTGTTTATCGAATCAACTACAAATACATGTAATAGGAATGATTCATCACCTGTCCCCGATATTTGGAAAATTCTACTACCCATACGACGAAAAGGAGAGAACAAAGAAAACTATAAAACTCAAGTGTCAAAGTCGTGTGATCACAATTGATATGATTATGAACAATAAATTTTGTTCGAAACGTCATCCAGTAAATAATACTGTTTCACTGTGTGATATACCTAATAAACAAACTAATATGGAATTACTTACTACCACAGTGCCCAAGTTTTATACATATATAAATTAGAGGAAGAATTTACGATTCTTGGTAATATGTTGAAAACAACGGTTACCCTCAAAGGTTCATTAACAAATATGGAAGATTTGAAGGCTCAAAAATCAAACAAATCTCAGCGGAAAAAAAGCCTGTCTTCATTCAACTAGATTTTAAAGGTGAAAATATTACAGCAATTGCCAACAGAAGATTGAGGATGTCACTGGCCACAGGCTATCTTATCTATCGAACAACTTGCTGTTTGGTGCAATCGAAAGTCGACAGATATTCTTCTCGTGCTAACTCCAACTGTATATACAAATTTACATTTATCCGTGGGACCATTTAAATTGGAAGAACAAAAAGAAGGGCATACCTCCGATTTTCTGAACATGTACGAAAAAGCCTATGTGTAAATGG